ACTTAATTTTTTGTGATGGGTCAAAAAAGTGATGCCTCGTATAACTTTCTTTCCTACAATCCCTTTTCTTCTTCTCTTCCTTCTCCGTCTATTCTTGTAACTCATATTTTTTCTTCAATCTTTCCTACTACTTTTCAACTCCTCACCATTTTCTTCCCTCCCTCCCCCTCTATACCTAACCTTTAAATTCATATCCTGTGACCTAATATATTTAACTTTACTTATCATAATGAAAAATATAAAATTGAAAAATGATTACAATGGTTGCAATTATTAGTATCTAAAAATGGAAATGAAAAACTAATAATATCTATAATATCCTCAAGTACTACAATCAATATATATATATATATTTAACATAGCAAATACATATTTACATATGAAAACAGCAATAAGAATACATAAAATAATTAATGATACCAAAAGTTATCCTTAGTGTTTGGGTTTTGCACTCTTATTCAAATCTAATGTCAAATTTGGGCCAAATATATACAAATTAAGTAGTATTTTAGAGTTGAATGTTCTATATCTTTCTCTTAAACTATAATGTTATTTTTTTAAAAATTTTTTGGTAAAATTGGTGTTGTTATTATGATTATTTTTTATCAAAAATGAATATTTCAAAAAAAAAAGTCCACGTTAAAAGGCTAGTAGTACTTTGTTTTTTATTTAGTGAATTCATAATTTGGATTTCATGAATAGTACCATTCTTGATTTTTTAAATCCACGACATTATTTCGTTTTTGTTTTCTATTTAATTTTGCCTTTTTACTTAGTATTACTAAGTTAAAAAATAAAATATTGTCATTTACTTTTTTACTTTTACTAAGTTTGGCAATGTTTTCTTTTTATTTACCTTCCACTAATAAACTTCAAACCAAAATTCTATATAAGTGGAGTCACTACTTTTTTAAATTAGAAAAGCATGGAAGTCACTTCTTACTTAAGAAAATGTTATTTGCACCCCATTTTTTTTATTATTTGCAATTCCACCATTTGTTTTATTATATAGTCTAATTAATTAAAATTATATGACCAAAATGATTATTGAAATGTGAATAACAAAAATGGAGTGTAAATAATCATACTTATTTAAATTAATAAAAAAGCATGAAAGGATGTTATATTTGTTATCTCTTCTTATGGTCTTATAGAAGTTTTAATTGTTATAAAATCATAAATAACGCAAGGTAATCGGAAACGTGATGGGTTGAAGTTTAAATAGGATAACATGCACATTAACCAATAATTTGAAATGAAATGATTTTAAAAAATAACCAATAATTTCAAATGTGAAAAGTAGATGTGGAAGTTGAAAGAAATATATTTTATAAATTAAATTAAATTAAATGTGAAATGCTAGAAATATGAAATTGGTAGTGGAAAAATGCGTGGAGGCTTGTTACTAAAAATTCCTTCTCAAATGTATATAGAGATAGATTGTTATAATAAAATTTTAAATTTTAAAAAACTTCCAAAATACAGTTACAGTCAATTATTTAACCACAAACACCGAACACAGAATATTAAATAATACTCGTACTTAATTGAAAGAAAATTAATGAGCTGTGCAAGTCATCTATTATCATGTCGAGTGTAAGTTAATTTTGGCGCACTTAATAGTTATCTAGTACTTTTACTCTGAAAACTAGTGTGAATACCCGTGCTACGCACGCTGCTGACATTATTGAAAAAAATGAAAATAAAATGGTGAATAAAAAAAGGTTAAAAAATTGTACCAACACAATTAAAATGTAATATCTGTCTAACAATAGTTTGAAATATGATACAATGTGTATATCATTCAAGAACTGCCTTTTTTCGAAAGATAGATTCTGAAAAAATAATATAAATTTATATTAGAAAATGAATGATATATGAATAAAAATGAATGTAATTGAATGTTGTTAAAATGAAATACTTACAAATATTATGTATTTGATTTGATAATCTTGCATGAAAGTGCGAACACTTTTCACACCATTCAACTTTTAGTACGAAAATCAAAATTGGTGATTTAATTAATTCTGTTGAATTTTGTGGAGTGCGTACTATAAATGAAAATACACGATTTTTGCATGAATTGATTCGTTGGTTGAACAACCTATCACCATTTTTCTGAGAATTAAGTACGTATGAAATTCAAAATTAGTGTATTTTTTTTACATAGTCTATAAATAGCATTATAAAACATAAATATATATCAAGAAATTCTACCTTTCTTTGTAATTCTCTGAGATAATAAGCATCACAACTAAATACGAATCGTGCATGTCTGTCTTGTAGATTAAGATGCATGTTACCACTGGAATCTCTGATTTATATGTTAACATTGTACCTGTTTGACAAATAAAATATTATATACAATACAGAAAATATGTTAAAATTAAAAGTACATGAAATTAATTACCTAACAACAATGTCGACCACGTCATTATAATTTAGACCAGAGTGACAAAGAATCAGATAATGACAATCTTTTTGTGATAAGAAACATTAACTCTTTTGGCCTAAAGGTACGGAATCTGTCATTATGACAATATCAAATACTATACATAGTTATCGAATTCCAAGAATCCAAACTAAGTCGCCAACAATTTGAAGATTTAAATTTTTTATCGTAAGAAATTTCTCATATCCAATTCCATAATTTTTTTATCTGGAGGGAACTTGATTCCATAAAAAATCAAATACCAACACTTATGCCATAGGGAAAAAGATGACATAAAAATAGTGATGGACATCTATTATTTTGATCATAAAATAAAATTTTATACTTACTGTTGCGTAATAAGTTGTTATTGAATCATGAGAAAATGCGTCTAAAACGATGACCTATTACCTAACATTTCACTTCTATTTAAAGACGAAAGACAATAACAACAATAATCAATCGAAAATATTACATTATTGGAAATAATATTTAATAAAACAATGAAAATGCAAATGTTTAAAGAATAAACAGTATCGGGATTTCTAATTTGATGCGAACGACATTTTAATTGGTGTAGTTGGGATTTTGTCCTTCGAATTTGATGTGAGATTTCTCTTTCGTCAAAGCAAAATTGTTGAAACTTTTCGAACTGCTGTATAGAATCGTTGCGGTGTACGTTTCGTTTTCTAAACAAATGTTTCCTCCTTTTGCAATATTGCGAGTTTGAAATTTAGCTGTCGTTGAAATGCTTGTAGGCAAGCATGTTCCATAGTGAAATTATGTTAAGAGCTAAGATGGATACCATAAAAAAGTTGAAGGAGATAATAAATTTTTGGGAAAAATGCAAGAAAGTTCTCTTAATTGGAGTGAGCACGCAAGAAAGTTGAATGAGGATGCTATGTTTTGGAGAACTTTTAATTGGAGTGAAATTCTTAAATTGAAGGACTCTTAATTGGAGTGAAAAAGTGGGAGAAATGTAGGAAAAACGTGAGTATTATTATAGGATTTTTAGAAGCAGTTATAGGATTAGTTAAAAGATAAACATTTCTTAAATTGGAGAACTCTTAATTGGAGTGGAAACGTGGGGGAAATGTGAGCATGATCATATGATTTGTAGTATACTCAATAACTTGATAGTATACTCAAATCCTCGCTGAGGTAAAGTTTGCCTAAATAAGTTTTATAGTGTCCGAATTTCTTGCAAAAAAAAAAAAAAAAGCGCTAAATAGTCTTAATTGGCATTGCAAATTACAGCAACGTGCCAATGGCATCTAGTTCTAATTTTTTTTGAGGTCAAAATCTAGTCGTAACTGGTTCTGTTGTTTCTTGATCATGTTGTATGTTTTCGAATTCTATTTAGCGTGTAATAATTGATAATGATTTATTCTATTTTTTCGTGGTATTGACAGGCGAAAACCACACCAGAAGTGTGATAAATTTACTATAAACTCTTAATATTATCTCCCCTAATTTTTGTATACTTTTTAAAAATTTAAACTTTTGTCAATAATAGGCTGGTCACACAAATAAAAAAAACGGACTGGTTACACATCTCATTATTTGCCCTAAGGAACTCAATTTAGCAAATTTCTTAGAATAATGGTGAAAAGAATCATAACAATGGAGGAACCTGGGTTTGTTTCTTTTTTTTTTTGGGATATGAAACAGCCCTATTCATTTTTTAAAAATAAATAAATTGGCCATCTTACGTTCATTAAGAAGGGAAACATTTTTTGGTCACTGCACATGGATGTCCGGCCATCCTAAAAGGGGAAAAAAACAATTGTTCCGTTCTTGCGATTTTTTTTTGGGTTAAATATAGTAAACCCCTTAACTTTACATTTAGTTGCACTTTATCCCATCCACTTTACATTTAGTTGCACATTTGTGATTTTTTTGAAACGTGATTGTAATTTGCAAAGCTCATTTATAGGAGTGGTTATAGGATTAGTTTAGTGATAAATATTTCTTAATTATAAAAATGTAAAATTGTATTAAAATAGTATACAAATGAGCATTTGTCTTTAATTAAGGAGTAAAAAAGATTTAAAGTATAAATAACAAACTATAAACGGTTTATGAAGTAGATAGTGGGAAAGTTTTAAATTTTAAATTTAACTGGTAATAGGATTGGTTATAACCCACTACTTTTTATGTATTAAAATAAATACAAAAAATCTAAAAAAAAGAATGAGAAGTTTGGAAGCCATTGAGAGGCCGTCTCCTAAAAATCCACTCTGCAATAGATATAGATATAGATCATTAGCACACGGGATCCTTAGTGCCACTTTTTAAGTGATAATTCAGTGCCACTTCTATATTTATGTCAAGTATCCTGTTTATTTAATTTGTTATGTATTCTTTATTTAAATTTCTTCTATCATTACGTGATAAGTGGGATTGATATTGAATTTAGCATCTAGTAGTGGCATAGAGGATCCCAACCGGAACATTGGTCCTAGTAGTAGCATTTTTTAGACTCTACACCAAAGGTTCCATTTGGTCAACCCATTCCTACAAAAACCAGAACCAAAGCGAGAAAATGTTGTACTTATTAATGTCCCTCGTACTCGAATGTGTTGAAATCCCCTGAGGATGAAGGCGGCGGATTCTTATTCGTCACAAAGGACCCTTTCATCCTAAGACGGTGCATGCTTTTCCCCAATTTCAAAATTCTGAAAAATTCTACCATTATCTGAATGGGTTCCACAATTCCGAATCAGAGGCATCCCAGATTCGAAGAGTCAAGCGGGTCATCCTACTCCTCCACCACCAGTAACAGTAATACCTCCAAGAAGAAATGGTGGAATCTGATGCCTCTGATTGTGAGTTTAGTGGTGATTGCAGAGATCGCCTTTCTGGGCCGACTGGACGTGGACAAGAACGTTGACTTAGTCAACTCCTGGGCTGACTCCTTTTACCAGTATACGACGTCGTCGTCTTGGTTGTCTACCTCATCCACCACCACCACAACGCATATTCATATGGGCGACGGTGAAGATGAGGCAGACGCCGGGTTGACCAGTGTGACCGGCCACGATTTTGATCGGAAGAGCGGCTCCGAAGTGGAAAATACCTGTGAGGAGTGGTTGGAGAAAGAGGACTCGGTGGCTTACTCTAGGGATTTTCAGAAAGATCCCATCTTTGTAACTGGTGCTGAACAGGTTTTCCATTTTTTCCCTTTCTTTCATTAAATTTTTGTTATTTGATACTAGTAGTTAATTTGGAATTTTCTACTTTATGTTCAGAATTGTAAGGCTGCTGCTTAATAGTATTGATGAACTGGTGGATAATCTTTGTGTAAAGTCCAAATTTTTGTTTGTTTATAGGGTAGGGTAGGGTCGGATAGTGTAGTGACACAACCTATTCTATGATGAGAAATTTAAAGAAGAGTAATTGTGAAGTAGGTTTAACAGATGTGCTATACCATAATTTTTGCTAAATTAAAGTTACAGTAGATTAATTTCAATAATTCGTTAGTTGTTGATTTTATTTAGAGCACTGAGTAGTTTTCCTGGTAGGTGTCCTATAATGATAATGTCCAAATTGATTTTAGAAAAATGTAAACAAACCGTATTAATGTAAAGGTGGGTGATGTTGTGTTTTGCACCATCACACGTGCCTTTAATCGCTATCCTGTTTTTAAAGCTTATTAATAATTTGAAGAAATGACAATTTTCTTTACTTGATGGAACATAAATTCTGAAATTTGTATTGGGTTATGTGGATTCTAGCATCCTAATACAATTAAAATATCTTTCCTTTTGGTTTTGCTTGTTGGGTAATAATTTATTATGTGGGTCATGTATTTATTAATGTTACTTGCTTCAATTTAGGAGTGGAAGTCCTGTTCTGTGGGATGTAAATTTGGATTTGATAGCAATAGAAAGCCTGATGCTGCATTTGGTTTACCTCAACAAGATGGTGCCGCGAGCGTGCTTCGATCAATGGAGTCAGCTCAATATTATGCAGAGAACAATGTTGCTATGGCACGACGGTGGGTAAGAACTGACTATAGCATGTTCACATTTCATTGACCTTGTCTCTTTCATGTTGTTGAAAACCTAATTCTTGTTAAACGTTGCCTCGAGTTGAAACAGTTTTCGCACTAAAGTATTTTTGCTGTAAGCTGTATCCATTGTTTAATTTGAACAAGTTGCTTTGCATATTTAGATTGGCACATAAAACTACTAGGTGTCTCTCACTTGATGTTGTTGCTCTCTCTCTCTCTCTCAGTTTTGTATTTATGGTCCTGATGAACTCAATGCATAGCAGGCTTTTGCTATGGGAAAATGCAAGAACAATTTGACTTTCTTGATTATCATACTTGTAGAATAAGATGCTGAAGGCTGGAGCCAATTGTTAATTAAATATACCTTTTTAGTTGTAATTTGTCAAAGGACTTGTCACCCAACATCATAGAGCAACTAAGAATGTGACTGTCTTGATACTTGATGAGAATATAAACACATGCTTGTTCTTGCTGGTAGGATCATTAAAAGTGGTCTTTTGTAAAAGAATGGCACATTCTTGTTGCTTGATTGCATGAGAAAGATGGAATGCAAGGGTATATTCTTTCCCCATCTGTAGTTTTTTAATGTGTCATGAAATATCTTGTTAACTCTAATCTTTCTATTTTGGATTGGGAGCTTGGTGGAATTGACAGTTTGTAGCTGCTAATTATTTCACCGTCCCCTCTGCCGGCCCCCCCCCCCCCTTCATTTTTTTTATTTTTGCCATTCTGGAATATGGCAACTGAGGTAAATGCACGGCACAAACTATTTGAGAAGACATTGGAAATGCTATTGTGCTATTAGCCTAGAGCTGCCATGCATCATAATATGGAAATACTGCTACTATTCTAAGTCTCTTTCTTGTATTTGCGGTAGAAATCTGTGAAAGAAACAAATAATGGAACTAATGATATATACTTGGAAAAGTTGTACCTTACTGACGTGTGGCTTATCCTGGTATACAACTTTAGTTTGTATTGATTATGATATAAATTCCCTCCATTTCTTGTGAACTTTTCTAGTTTTCAATTATTAACGGACTGATAATATGTGGTTTTGTCATCATGCATCAGGAGGGGATATGATATTGTTATGACAACAAGTCTCTCTTCAGATGTTCCGGTTGGGTATTTCTCTTGGGCTGAGTATGATATAATGGCACCTTTGCAACCAAAAACTGAGAGTGCTTTGGCAGCAGCTTTTATTTCTAATTGTGGTGCTCGAAACTTCCGACTTCAAGCTCTTGAAGCACTTGAGAGGGCTAACATCAAAATTGATTCTTATGGAAGTTGTCATCGAAATCGTGGTGGAAATGGTGAGCATATTGCACTGTTAATGTTTTTGTCTTCTTATTGTCTTTAAGCTGAAGTCTGGTTCTTAGATACTGTGGAATTAATGGCCTTCTAATTATTTAAGCTATTAAAATTTCCTTGTTGGAGTTATTTCTGCACTTTAGAATTACAGGAGAAGAACGAGCCATTGCTTTCAATTGATATCTGGTTACTATTTTGCATCTAAGAAGTTTGCAGAAAATCTTTGTAGTGGATGTTAATGCTTTCATTTGAATAGATTGTATAAATGTTGATGCTAAATTGTTACGTATTTGATAAGGTAGTGTTTTTGTGGAAATATGCTGCTGGCTGGCACATCTTATTGTTTAAACTTCAGTTATAATTTTGTGCAGTGGACAAGGTAAAAACGCTGATGCGTTACAAGTTCAGCTTGGCTTTTGAGAATTCAAATGAGGAGGATTATGTTACTGAGAAGTTCTTCCAATCTCTTGTGGCCGGTATGAAATATGTTGTTTTTCGATTCCTTCCTTCAAAATTCTTCCTTTTTGAAGCTTCGAGATAGCACTTTCTGATGGAAATTAACTAGGTTTTCTTATACTTTTGTGGCATTGAGAAATGTTATTTCTCGGATGATTTCAGATGGAAATCTGAAGTAATGTCTTGTGTCTCATTTGTTATAGCTTTTAAAGAACAATGTAGTCCAAGTAATTGCTGTGGATGTGTGAAAAGAGCCTATATGTTGGGAATGGGTTCATATCTCATTGTTTTGCTAATGAAGGAGCTTTAACATGAACTTGTAGGAACTGTTCCTGTCGTTGTGGGTGCACCAAATATCCAAGATTTTGCCCCTTCTCCTAGTTCTGTGTTACACATTAAGGAGCTAAATGATGTTGATTCGGTTGCCAAGAATATGACATATCTTGCTGAAAATCCTGGTGCATATAATGAATCATTAAGGTGAGTATCATTTGTATATAGGCCAGTCTTTTAGTAGACTTTCGTATACATCATCTTGGTTAGTGTTATGTTGCCTGTTCTAGTTAAAGATTATGGTACAACTTCTCTAATGGGCTCGCAGTCAGTTTCCTCTATTACTTTTTTCTGCTCATGTCATTGTCGATTGATATCAAAATTTACTCTTTTGCTGCTTGTATTACATGTGGAAATTTAATTTTCTACCCACTCTGCAGTTTGAGGAAAATTTGAGTCTACTTTGTAGGTGGAAGCTTGAGGGCCCATCAGATTCTTTCAAGGCCCTTGTTGATATGGCTGCAGTTCATTCTTCTTGTCGTCTATGCATTTTCTTGGCAACAAAAGTTCAGGAGAGAGAGGAGAAAAAAGTAGAGTTTCAAAAACGGCCATGCAAATGCACCAGAGGCTTAGAAACTGTCTATCATGTATATGTTCGCGAAAGAGGGAGGTTTGAGATGGTGTCGATTTTTCTAAGGTATTCTTTTTGACCTATTGAGTTTTCGTCATAGAGACTGAAGATTGTCAGTCCACTGTACCTGACTTTGTGGGTGGATCAGGAATGTGTTTGTCGTCTTAGATGAACAAGTCGATGAATTTGGATTTTCTTTCTTACTTTACCCCGAATGCATATGTTTATTTTGTAGTTTGACACCGATCCAACCCTTCCTGCATTCTCATTCTTGGACCTTTTTGGGCAGGTCATCCAATTTAACCTTGAAGGCATTGCAGTCCGCGGTGCTGTCAAAGTTCAAGTCTGCGAAACATGTGCCAGTTTGGAAACAAGAAAGACCAGAAAAGATAAGAGGAGATGATGGGCTAAAAGTTCACAGAATATATCCTCTTGGCATGACACAGAGACAGGCATTGTATACCTTTACATTTAAGGGGGACAGTGAGTTTAGAAATCACATAGAAAGCAATCCTTGTGCTAAATTTGAGGTCATATTCGTGTAGATGGCAATTCGAGAATTCTGCTCAACTGTTAAGATTGTTCCGCACAATTCACAAATTAACTTGGAAAGAGGGGAAAAAGGCATGTTTGACTCTGCATCTGTGCTGCAAATTTTTATTCCCCAGACGTATCCCCAGACGTAAAGTGGGAAGGGAGAGAGTGGGGAGAAAAAAAGGATCAAGAAGAAATCAATAGCTTAAGATTTACTTGCCTAGTTGCATATCAGCATATGTATTTGAAAGACTTTCGTGACTTTGATGTACCACTGCATATTAGGACATATATATATATATGTATGTGATATGAAAGAAATAGCCAGTTGTTGCTTATCTTCTGCCTTATTAACCGTCGATTGGGAGGACAAAATCACACAACTTCAAAAAGGATATTTTGCACGAAGGTTTTGCCAGTTTTTAAACAGGATGGAGGCCAATTCATCAAAGTATTATCAAAACATAATTGATTGACAATTATTTCGATTCAAAATATAGTCAACTGTTGGAATGAATGGTACTTAATATCCAATTAACTTAAAGAGTTACTACTATATGTAATCAGTCAAATATTTAAATTGCATACTACTACATACACTTGCATACATCGGTTCTGGGGGGGGGGTTTGGGTTTGGTTTATAAGTCCCTGGGACGACCTCAAGAGTTGCCGGCTTTTGAGGTTTCTTCTGGGATTAGTTTTATAAAAGCCGAATTTTTAAACTTCAGTTTAGAAAAGGTCAAGAGACATACACTTGCATATATATATATATATACGTACAGATTTTTGAATGCGTGTGTACAATAATAAGCATATGGATGCAAACACCTGCAAAAAAGCAAAAGAGATTTAGTACAAAACTTTGAATTTAATTGAATTTGATTTGTTGAAAGTCACACTTACTACGAAATTCTTGATGTTAAATAAATTTGATATTGTGAAGGTCACATTCGACAAAAATTTTTAGGTTTAACCTGATCTTTTAAACTTGAATTCAATACAAAATTTTGAATTTAACTTAATTTGATCCGTTAAAAGTCATGTTTACGACAAAATTTTTTATTAACTGAATATAATTTCTTGGACACCACACTGATTACAAAATCTTAACTTAACCAACGTAGTTATTTTGAACACCACATCCAGTAAAAAGTTTTTATGTTTGATTTAATTTAATTTTTTGAATTTGCATTCAAAACAAAATTTCAAATTTAACTGAATTTAATTTTTTGAGATTCACAGTCCGTACAAGTTCTTAATTTTAACTTGAATGAGATTTCTTGAACGTTGCTGCATTCAATATAAATTCTTAATTCCAACTGAATTGACATTTTGAAGGTCAAATTCAATAAAAAATATTTATGTAGTATAACTTAATTTGAATTTTTAACGTCGCAACACTTTCGATTAATAAAAACCAGTTATATTTTGATGCCAAAAATTGGAGTCCCCCACATATTTTTAATTTAACTTAGAAAAGAACGTGTGACTAAACTTATTAGCGGAACATCCTTGCGCGGTGGCAGGGCTTTGGCGTTTTGGGTTTTGGATTTTGGTATCGGAACACCTCACTTCTGGAGGAGTAGTACAGCTCCTCCGCCGCCATCCGGCAGCCGCCGTCCGCTGTTAACAACTTGGGCGACCACCACTCTGTCCTACTATCTCTGCGAAAAATAAAAGTTAGCAAAAGAAAAGGAAGCACAAAATAATGTGGTATCTATGCGTATTTTACCACAGGTTGCTGGACTACAGAAGGCCGGAGGTGGAATCTCTAGCAGACCTCTTTGGGGCCTTTGATAAAGAAACCGACCCACAATCGAAGTCGCTTGAGTGGAGGCTTCCAGAGGACCACCACCCTGATTCTCCCTTCCATTTTGTTAATCTTCCATCTGAACAAATCGCCTGCAATATAGCCAATAGAAGTAAGCAACAAGGGATCTCCTTTTGTTTGTCTAATACATTCTTTTGTTTATTATTTACTATATTTACCTCCAATTATTTTTGTTATTTTGATAATTTATTGTGTTTTTTCTTTGGGGCCTTCTCGTAGTAGAAGGGGAAAAGAATACTGAATCTTGCTGCTTAAACTGAAGTGGCTGTAATAGCTGTTGCGCTTGAATATATTCTCCTCATAATATGTTGTTTGCAGTGGAGGGTATGTTTTTGTTAGCTTGCTTTTAAGAAGAAGAGTAAGTTTTATAGCTAAAGAAAATTAGACTAAAATTTTTCTTTTCAATTGGTTATGGGTACTGCCGAGTTTTTATAGATCTTCATTTAGGTTGTAGAGAAGCACGGTGTCCAGACAAATGTTAATATGCTAGTTGACAACAGCCCCTACAGCTAATTCGTTGATAATCTTTGTTCTGGATTGTTATATGCGCCTCATCATTCTTGTCATATATGCAATTTAATATCCGTATCCTTGCATGCTTCTCATTTCTTGCGTAAAAGCAGAGAATATTTACTCCATTTGAAGGAGTTAACCGTGATTGTTAAGGAAGTTGAAAATCATGTTATATCTTGGGATTGTTTAACTAGACATTTACTCAGATCAGAATTTTCCATAAATATCCATTTTTCCTTTTGGTTGGAGCTCAATTTAGATTTTCCTCTGATTCAACACAATTATTTCCTTATTGTCAATAGTCACCTTGAAGCGTGAATGAGTATATGACGAATTGAAGTCTTGGATGTTTAGGCATTCTTGTAAAAGGGATTTATGAGCTCTGGGGTGAAGGAAGTAGCTTTGAGGAGCTGGAAGAGGCTATAAAAAGTTGTCCAGATGAGCAGAAGTTGCCATACCTTACATCTGGAAGCACATTCAAGATTACTGTGGACAGTTTTGGGAAAGTTGTTAGCTTTCAAGAGCAGAATGATCGTATTCAACAGCTCTCTTACATTCCATTTAAGGTTTGGTTATCTCCTTTTTCTATTTGTATAAAGATCTGATCCTCTCCTTTTTCTGTTGCTTAGATTATCTGTTGTTCATGTCAGATGATACCTTGCATGGCTTTTAATTTGGATTATTTTGATAGATGGTAGACTATGCTACGAATTTTTTTTGGTTCTCTGAACTAGCCTTACTTCTGCATGCTTCCTGTTGGAAGATAAGATTATAGCTATTTATGATATCTTTTTTGTTTTCTTAAAATTCCTTTTTCCTTTTTGCCTTCCTTGTCTGAAAATCGTAACTTGTAAGAACAATGTGAAAGGAACTCAGACATTATAAAATCTCCAACATTGATAAGTCCGCAAGGTTGCCTCCCCATATGCCAAACAGTTGTGAAGCTGTATCTGTGTATCCCTTTCTGATTGTCTCATTATTAGGGGCACAACATAATGCATTTCCCCCCATCATGAGTATGATGTCAAAGTTATTTTAGGAATTTTGGTTTCACAAAGTGTATTCCTGATTGATTGGAATTGCAAAGTAAATTTTAGTATTTAAAAGTGGGTAGGTGTTCTAATATCTTGCAAAGTGGTGCTGGGTGCTACTTTTTGACTATTGCAGTTTCAGGTTAAAAGGAAAAGTCTCATGCAGTCTTGTGTCTGAAATTGAGTTTCAGGTGTTTCATCTGCTCCATGGTCTTACTTTCTCTTCTGTTTCGTTGATACACCAATCTTGGATAAATTGCTCTGTTTTGCCTTTAAGAATCTCGATGTACTGATAACTTTCCTATCTTGTTTCTCTAATGTTTTGGGAAAGAAGGGTATGATAGTGGGTACCAGCAAGTACATAAAATTTTCTTGGTCTAGCATTACTTTTGTGTTTCTTTTTCTGCATTAAGCTATGGTGGTAATTGTGAGACCTGTAAAGGTAACTGTCATCTTTGGACATACGTACAGATCTTTGCATAGTCCCTCTTAATGTGGTGAAAGGATCATTGTTCATAGAAGTTGCCAACTTTGTTCCTCTTTTTTTTTTTTTGGTGATAGTTCCTGTTGTTAGCAGATGCTAAGTGACCTTGGTTCTTACAGGGCCAGGTCAATCTAAGCCACCCTGATCACAAGTTCTGGCTCATGGAAACTGATAATTACGGATCTAACAATGGGCTTCCTCCCATTGTCTGCAGAAGAATTTTTTTTGGTCGAGAGATTGGGGCTGCAGATAGGAAGCTTCTGCCAACTTACCAATTAAAAAGCCGCACTTACCTTGGTCCCACAGCCATGGATGCAGAGATGGCTTTCCTGATGGCCAATCAAGCACAGGCCAAAACTGGGAAACTTGTCTATGATCCTTTTGTTGGTACTGGAAGCATCCTGATTGCTGCAGCTCATTTTGGAGCAATGACAATGGTGTGTGATTTTATGTGCACTAAAACTTCTGTTACTAGGCTTTGTTTCACATAACATTTCTGGTTGGATACCTTACATTTGGTTGAAAACATTAAGATTTCTTTTGCTTTTGCGTGCCATTAATGTGAATTTCTCAGGGTGCAGATATCGATATTCGCGTAGTTCGTGATGGTCGTGGTCCTGATTGTAATGTCTGGACCAATTTCAAACAGGTTAAGATACGGAAATTGACTTTCTATTATTATGATTATTATTTTTATCTTGTTTTATGCAGTGAAACTTTATACTTCAACATTTTTTTTGTGAATACTTACAAAGTAGTGCTCATCTATATGGCTTTCGTGGCAGTATGGATTGCCCATGCCAATTTCTCTGTTGAGGGCAGACAACAACCTCCCGCCTTGGCGTCCTGGACTAAAGGAGGTAAGTAATCCTGGTCAAGGACAATAAATGACAGTTTTTCCCCCTTCTCCAGTTAAAAAAAGCTTGAAACAAATCTGGTACAAGGATTAGCTTAAAATGTACCACTGTAGTCCACCAGCATATCAATAACTGTGTGGGATGAACTGCTTACTCCTGGAATAGATTAAGCAAGGACTTTCATGTGACATTTTATCCTTAAAATCTTTTGTTTTCCTCTTGACCCACAAGTCCTAAGAACATGCTAAGGCTGGTAGTCTTTGTCATGGCTAAACTTCTCATGTCCTTCTATCCCTCCAGCATTATAGAGAAGACTAAATTCTCTTCCATCATTACCTGGATAGCAGACAATGAACAAAACATTTTTCTCTTGGTGGTAAAGTCTCAGATGTAGAGTTAAAATATCTGCCATCCACTGCTATTTTGAAGCAGAGGAGTTGTATTAACTTGTGAATGCATTCTCTTGCTTTTAGTCAAGATTTATGAATACAAGAAGTAAGATAGCTTTATTTGGCAGGGACAATGGAATTGTATTATATCCTATGTCTGAGCTAAATGGAATAGGGTTTCCCTGTGTAGTAGGGTGGTCCTAGTAATAGAACCTAGTAGCTGGTCGCCTTG